CCGAAATGGTTTAGTCCGCCCATAGACGGCAGCCGGCGGCAAAAAAGTAACGCAGTGAGTAGAGCCCGATCATGCTGCGCAAAAAGCCCAAATCGGGCTTTCAAAAAAAGAAAGACAGGAAGGAAAAAGAAAGGAGGCAGAATGAGGGGCATTTCTTTTCAAAAGGTGAACTGAGTTTGCTTGTTATGAAACTACATCTAATTAAAGTTAACATAGTCAACTCCAGACAGCTGCTGCTAATGCAGGGCTCAAAATTGCGACCATTTTGGTCGCATATAATGCTGATTTGTCTACAGTCATTACTAGGGAAACCGTAATATTTCAGCACTCCTAAAGCGCCCCCTTGTGACAGAGAATGAATTTTTATTTCCAATAAATTTTTTCAGCTGTTTATGGTCAAATTATTGCAATTATCGATCCATATATACGTCTGCAAGATGTCTGTTAAAGATCTCTTGATCTGGAAAGCACCTGCTGTATACAAACGTCTGGCAGACGTCTGTTTGATGTCAGTTTTACACACATTCTGAATCGCAAACATCTTAAAGATGTCTAATAGAAGTCTATTTCACATCTATCTGATAGGAAACGTCTTGTAGATGTCTTGCAGATGTGAATGCAGACGTCAAAAGACTCGTCAGTGGGGATTTACTGGGATGTAGATTACATCTCATTTGACTTTTATTTATTTTTTTGATAGTTGACGATTTGTATTATGGTAGGCTTAGCTTATTTGATTTGTTTCTGAGGGTACAGTTGTCTCGTGTTCTCCTGTTCAAAAATAAATGTTTTTAAATCAAAACTTGCATCAGTATCATGGATCAAAATGTCAGTACACAAACCCGATGCAGCCTACGGTTTAAAGGTATTTGAGCACAAGTAGGCCAAATGCATCAATTTGGTGGTGAATGAAAGAACCAGTCATTATTATAATCTGAATCCAGTAACATGCAGCTCAACTCCTTGTTCAAGCTCTTGTTCTCTCCAAACTGGATTACTGCAACTCTCTACTAGCTGGGCTTCCAACTAACTCTATCAAGCCTCTTCAACTGCTCCAGAATGCAGCAGCACGAGTTGTCTTCAATGAACCTAAACGAGCACATGTCACTCCGCTGCTAGTCCGTTTGCACTGGCTGCCAGTTGCTGCTCGCATCAAATTCAAAGCTCTGATGTTTGCCTACAAAGTGACCTCTGGCCTTGCTCCTTATCTGCTCTCACTTCTGCAGATCTATGTGCCCTCCAGAAACTTACGTTCTGTGAATGAACGTCGCCTCATGGTTCCATCCCAAAGAGGGAAGAAATCACTTTCGCGAACGCACAGGCTCGCGAAAGGCTCAATCTGCCCAGTTGGTGGAATGAACTCCCTAACTGCATCAGAACAGCAGAGTCACTCGCTACTTTCAAGAAACGGCTAAAAACTCAACTATTTAGTCTCCACTTCACTTCCTAATCTGCAATTGCCTCTTTGAATATCACACTAACTGTACAAAAAAAAAAAAAAAAAATTATTAATACTACTAATACTTCCCTTCTTAGACTTTACAGACCTGAAACTTGCCTATAGCACTTATTCATTGTTGCTCTTAGTTGTGTAAATTGCTTCCTTGTCCTCATTTGTAAGTCACTTTGGATAAAAGCGTCTGCTAAATGTAAAAATGTAAAAAATGATTATAGATTAAAACACTATTTGTGCATGTTTATATTCAAATAATTAAAAACATGTGTAGGGGGCCCACTGACATTGAGAGGGTACAGGGCCCAGAATTTGGTGCTACGCCCCTGCAAATTACATAGGAGCAAAGTTCAAATAAACAAAATTAATATAACCGGTGGGTAAGCCAAAGAAACGGTCCTCCACAGCAGTCTCTCCAACACAGTTTGGAAGCTCCTTTTATAAAGCCTGAAGATTAGCCGCACCTGCTGCATCATAACGAGTCACCTGTTCAGAAACAAAGCAAAACCCAGGAAACAGAACGAACCAATCACAAACCCAAATGCCAATCTTTCCTCTAAAGCACTTCCATCCTGGCAGAGATCGGCTCCAGCCAAGGATTAATTGTAATTCTAAAGTAACCAAGATCCTCGTAAACTGCTTGAAGGTTTTATTTAATGATTTTTTTTTTTAAATGTGTAGGTTATTAATGCATACATCTTATGCGTGCGGCGACATAACCAATGTCAAAAAAGGAAGGCATTTATGATCGATTGCTTCGAAATGACCAAAATCTGCCGTGGGTCATACAACGGCTTAAAGAAGGTATGTTCTTGAAATTCGAAATTGAATCTATGTGCTAAATATTTGATACAGCATCTCTTAATCTTGGACGAGATTTGTATTTAGCAATGTGATTTGTGTTTGTTTTATTAATCTATTGGGTTTATTTTTGTAGCTTGATCCAAGCAAACATGACCTGATTCTGAGGGTGATAAATGAACATATCACTGGACTCTTGCTGCGAGTATTAATTTTATATTTAAACTTGTATGTGTTCACTAACATTTGAATATATATATATATATATATATATATATATATATATATATAT